ATAGTCGCATGCGATAGGACTGTTCTAGTTGCAGTTCTGTTTTGTCCCTCTTTCCCGTCTCTCCCTCGTCCGAAGATCAATATTCACTTAGCAAGGTGATTGTATGCGATTGTGAGTGAATATTTTATTGAGATTTATTTCAGAAATTACTTTTTCACTTTAAAGTGTGAAATTTGATCGCTTTTCAACAATAATCGCATAAATAGGCTGCTAATCCGAAGGAAATTTTAAAAAAAAATTTCAATTTTTGATGAACTGCTATTAGGATCATCCGCTTTTAATTGTCGCATCGATAACTCGAACATTGATTTCGTTTTCGATATCTTCCAACTAGCTTTTGTAGCAAGAGATCGTCATTTATTATCGAAAATTTCTTGAAAATTCGCTGAATCAATCCATCATGTCTTGCATCTTGCGTCGAGTCGGCTATCAGCGTTCGTTAGCGAAGTTAACGACGTGAGTCCGCGCAGATTTCCTTCCTGTTGCTTCTCTCCGGTATCTTCTTCATCGCTTCTGCACGACTTTGTGGAAGCGGGACCACCTCTCGAGCTCACGCTCCGCGCAATCCTCATCGTTCTCCAGGACTCGTTGGCATGCCTACGAGAGCTGAGTCACATGACTCAGCCGAGTCACAATCGCCACGCCTTCGCCGCGCTAGGCATAATTCTCTTTGTTGCATCACGGGGAGCCCGTTCCGAGATAGCGCACCTTGTTCCACCGGATTCTCGATTAGGCTAGCGACTGGCCCAGCTAGACTCAAGCGTGGGACAAATCGCTTCGAGCAGCAATACATTGATCGGCATCGTCGCGATTATCTTCGCGTGCTGCGCGACAGCCGAGCTTGATGCGTCGCGTGAAGGTATCTTCATTTTATCATCAAGCTTATTCTGCAAAATCTTTAGTCCGTGACAGAATTTTGCACGCACACATATATATATAATATTTATACATTAAACTTGATTGCTTTCGATTCACTGTTTTGCTCGCTGGGGCGTCTGTTAAAACAATAGAGTGTCTCTCCACTTTGTATGGTTTGATTGAGAGAAGAAGGAAGGGACGAGACGTTTATTCTGAGAGAAAGTGGACTGCACTTTGGAGCAGGAAGAGCATATTGTTCATCCGTGAGAGATTCTGTTGACCGAAAAGTGGCGGCTAGGTTGTACGCATCTTCGTACACGAGGGTCATTCATCTTTCAATTCTTTGCTACGCGCGTCTAGCTCTATTGACTTTTTGCCATTAATTTATAATGTTGTGTTTTGCATTAATTCATACAAAAATAATAAATTTAGTCGGCATTTTTATTTTGTTTATTGAAAATTTAAAAAGAAACAAAGTTGATACAAAAATATTAACAGTTTTTTAAAAAAAGGTTTAGAAAGATACGAAAAATATTGTTTCCAATTTTTAATTAAATTATATTAATATTTTTCTATCTTAGAAAATTATATATTCCATTAGATTCTTAAATTGTAGGAATAATACATACAATATTTATTCAAATTATAGTTCAGTAACTCAAACTAAAAATCAGTCGACAGAATGCGTGCAACGGAGTCGCTGACTCCAAAAAAAAACCTTTTTCCTCATCTAAATTATTATATGACATAATATCAGTTATAAATTGAGCACGGGATTGAACCCGGCTATTGAGATTCAATCCGCAGCTGTTTCTTGAGCACGAGTGAAGAAGAAATCAGTGGCAACGGACAATGCGATCGCAT